AGTTTATCTATTTCATTTTGAGAGTTTTGGTAGTTTGGACTTTTCAAGGAATCAGTACAGTTCTTCTCAGTTTGAATTTATGTGCATAGAGTTGCTTGTAGTATTCCCTGATGCTTTTTTTTTTCTTATTGTTTGTGAGATCTATAGCAGTATTTTCTCTTTCATTCTTGGTATCAGTAATAGTGTTCTCTCTCCTCTTTCTCTCTCTCCTCTCTCTCTCTCTCTCTCTCTCTCTCTCTCTCTCTCTCTCTCTCACGCTTGCTCTCTCTTCTCCCCACCCCACTTATTAGAGGTCCATCAGTTTTAATGATCTTTGCAAAGAACCAACTTTTGGGTTCTTTTTTTTCCCCCTCTATTATTTTTATGTTTTTGATTTCATTTACTCTGCTCTTCATGTCTTCCTTTTTTCCCATTGCTGCCATTAAGAGATTGCCTGGGGACTGGCATGTGAGGGAACAGAGAAAATAAAAAAGAAATAATGGGTTTTTGCACTATTCCTGAGAGTTAGGAGTTTTCTTTCCCACCCCTTAAACCAGCTTCTCCTGGAGCTTTCTCTGCCCCCTGGTGCCCACTTCTGGCTTCCAGACCACAGTGTGTTCAGGATGGGAGATCTCAGAGAGAATAACAGTAAACTCACCATTAGTTCAGTGGTACTCCAAACTCTGGTCTTTTTCCTCAATTTGTTTGCTACTGTTTACTTTCTGGACTCCCCATACATTCATCCTGGTTTATAGTTGCAGTCAATCAGAGCAACCAGCTGGAGTTTCTTTCTTCTGACCCAGAACTGAAACTTTCCCCCACATTCTTTAAGCCAATTCAGAGAAGGGTACGGGACCTGATATATAGGGCCAGCTTATCTCCCACCGCCACTGCCGCTCCGTCTCCGTGGGCTCATCTTCCACCTGCACTACCTCTACCACCACCCCATCTCCATGAGTGTCACAGGGGTCCTCTGCAGTGGGGTTAAGACAACTTTGAAGATTGGCACATCCAGCACTAGACAGATCCCAGACAGCTAAGAAGTCCCCTCTCCACATCCCGCCCCCCGTCTTCAGAGATCAATTTCTGCTACATGAAAATGAGTAGTTAGTTCCAAAGGGGATACTTGGAGAATTCAGTCTTGGGCCATTGTGTTCAAATGTGGTCCTGGAGGCCTTTGGTTGGTTTCATCAAATTCTCTTCCAGGCCAGACTGATAGTTCATGAGATGACAAGATTTTTCCTAAAGGAAAAGCAAGCGTACTCCAGGCTCATGCAGATTCCCAGCAGTCTTTTCTGATGCTAGGTGAATTTGTTCCAAGTTTCCAGTGCTCTGCTAAGAATGCAGGGTCAACCAGAGCTGGGCATCCACATGATCCTCATAAAGTGGAGTGCCAATTCTCCTGGTGCGGTTAGAGAGAAAAGACCCAGTTGCAATGCCCTTGCCAGCTTTATGGAGAGGGTGAATAGAGAGGAAGCCTGACACTAGATGTGAAACCCATCCTTTCCCTACGTGCCTGCCTGAACCAAAGAAGCCTTGTATTACTATACAAGAGCTTGTCTTTTTAATATATTTTAAAATTAAAGTCAACATGGAAATGGGGTGGGTGGCTCAAATTGAATGGGTATTGTGCACCAGGCTAGTTATCTCCCTGTTTGTTACACAATAAAATAGGATCAGATAAACACAGGCAAAACCTCTGCCTCCATTGATAATGTAAATCATCCCTTGTATCATTTGTCTTTCCTTCGGGCTGGATACGAAAGGCACAGAAATGAACAATTCATGCCTAAACATAGGAGAGCTTGAAAGCTAGTGTATGTCAGATGTTTATTCTAGGTCATCATTAAGGGGTTGAGTGGATTTGCTTATAAACACAGCCTATTCTGTCAGTGGGGAGTGGGAGAGACAGTTTGTTTTGTTTTATTTTGTTTTGTTTTTTCCAGTGTGGAGACAGCTCTTTTAAAGACACATGGCAACTTTTCTGCCATGCACAGTAAGTTATATAGATAATTCTTTTTACAGGATATGAAATGTTGTTCCCTGAGCAGTGCAAAGTATAATGTGCTGTAGAAACAATGCTTTTTCTCTCCACTTTGTGCAAATGCCATTTTTCATTACCCACTGAGTGGAGGCCTGCTAGACATTGAGATGAGAGCAGGGCTCCCCTCCCGCCGATGGTCAGGCACTTCCTGACACTCAGCAGAGACCTCTGTGAGAGCCTGAGGAGGTCTCCCCCAGGAGCTCCCCCCACCATGAAGTCTGAAGCACCAAGCCCTTGAAGGATGTCTCGTCTTTTCATGTTATCCATTTCCACTGCCCTCATTCTCTGCCCAGGGTTTTGTGGGTGATGGTGGTTGTTTTTCCCACCCAGTCCAACCAAAGGCAGCTAAAGAAAAAGTGCCAAGACAAACAGAACGAGTGCCTTGGGGACCCGGTAATGGGTACAGAGCGTGAGTGTGGTAATCATTCTTTTGATTTGTGTTCAGATATGTTTTCTATTTGCTTTCGCACAGAATGCACATTTTCCCCCTGGATTGCAAATAATCTGAACCAGGGTAAAACCATTACAAAGTGGCCTTCAAACATCATGTCTGTATTGGAACCGAATGACTGATCAGACATTTAAATATGGAGACTGGGAATTCAGGTAAATTGCACTGATACGGTTTTTTAAAACATGCTCAGAGTTGTTTAAATAATCTTTGCTTTCTTAGGTATCTCTCTCTCTCTCTCTCTCTCTCTCTCTCTTTATTCATCTACTTTTTTAAAAAGAGTTTTGCATTTTTCCCTTTTAGCTTTGTTCTTGTTTCAATGATTTGCTTTTATTCGAAAAACCAAAAATAAAGAAATTATTTTTGCATCATTTCTAACAAAAAGAACACAGAGGGATGATGAGATGGAATTCTCAGCATTCCCAGGGTACCCAGGTGATCTCTGCCCTTTTTCTAGGCCACAAGACGAGATAATCTACATCTTCTCACGTTGTCCTCAGCATCTCCTGAGCAGCCTCTTTGAAGTGGATCACAAGAAAAGGAAAAGCACACATAGAATGACTGCTTCAGCGACTGCCCTTCATCCCCGCCCGGATGAGAGGGGAAAAAGCCCGGCTGGGAAAGAGAGATGAACGTGCTCACACTGCTCTGGGTGAGGCTTTTGTCAGGCGGGCCGACAGCAGTCGGGCCAAGGAGCCCTACCGTGGGGCTGGCTCTAAGTCCCAGGTTAATGTCAAGTGCTGGTTTTTCTTTTAGTTACTCAAGGATCAAAGGGAAATTACTCAATAAAAAAGAACTTAAAGGGGACTTCTGTGCTCACATAAACTTTAATCAAAAACACTTGTTCAAATGTAGCTTCCTTGACCCGTCTCTCCTGTCCTTATTCCTACACATTTGTGATTAAAATAAGGTTTTCTCCATCACAATTCAGCATTCCCTTTTCCTTCAGCTGACCAGAATTTCACAGGGGTGGCAGGAGAGATTGTTGCTAAGGAACTGAAGACTATGTCACAATTCAGCATTCCGATGAAGAAGAGTAAATACTTCTCAACAGATCGGGTATTAAGCAGAAATAAGCTGTGTGTGTGTGCGCGCGCGCATGCACGTGTGTGTGTGTGTGTGTGTGTGTGTGTGTGTGCACACACGTGTGTGGAGTTACAACTGACAGCAGGGGAGGAAGAGAAAGCACAAGTGTGTTCCTGTTTGAAATGTTGATGATTAGCCACCTCTAGAAAAGCTACTCCTCATACCCCTCAGTTGCCTCTTACTTGTAAGAATACCCCCATGCATTTGAACTTTTCACTCCAGCTTGTTTTGCTCCCCTCTCTCCAGATCCGTGTTTCTTCACACTGCTGTGTCACAGATTTATCACACTATGACCTTAGTCACATCCTCCTTTAAAAGGAGTCAGGTACAAACTTCACAAAGTCTCTGCCATGCTAGGTGTTCAGCAAGGAGCCTGGAACATGAAATTCCTCCCACTTGGAGCACACCCACGTCAATGTTTCTCTAAAATCTATTTATCTTAGTCACGACCTATGAACATGAATAGAATGTGGTGAATGTTCCTTGTATCAGGGAAAAGTTAGAATTTATACAGTTGTAATTTCTAGGGAGAAGTGCAATAACTTCACTGTTTTTTTTTTAATAGAATTCTTTAAGAAGCAGAACATTTTAAATGTGTCCTTTCTTCTTCTTTTGTACCAATATAAAAGATCTCCGCATCTCGGTTTGGTTCTTCCGCTGTCATGTGGCTGATTTTGTGATTGTTAGATTAAGCAAACTGGGAAAATCTGCCAGCAGATGATTTCACAAATGAATGGTACACATACAATCATAGGTAAGTACTCACCATGAATAAAAGAATGAATGGGTATAGGCAGAAAAGGAAACAGTGATCCTTGAAGAATTGAAGACAAGAGCTTAATTACTTACATAGAAAAATTCAGGAAGATGTGATCTGAATTTGACTGAAGGGAAATAAACTTCAGTGGCCAAATCCTTGCGTGTTAGCCCAGCATTTTGCTTGAACCCTGTCCGTTTCTACTACAGCGTAGGGCGATTCCGAGTAATACATGTTTACTCTGCCTAATTGAGGAGTTGAGGAGGTTGGACGCTAATGAGGTTTCTGAACACTGCTAAGAAGAACGGTGTGTGTGAAAGAGAAACCAAAGGGTACTTGGAAATGAAAATGAAAAAAAAAAAATGTCCTGAGAACATGGGAAAGTTCATTGTGGTGGGCTGGGAGAAGTCCAAACAAAATAGGTTTTAGAAAGAGGTGAAGTGGTTAAAAGATATTCGCTCATCCAAGCTAGAACAAAACTATAAATGTAGAATTTGACCCTGACCTCCCATAAATAATACAGGCATGTGTTGACAAGCAAACAAACTTACAGTACGTCACTTGACTCTGCCCATTATTTATACCACGTGGGAATTTCTTTCTGTGCTCCTTGGGGTTTTTCCCCAACCACCCCAAAAGTTTAAAGTCTACACACAATCTAAGAATAAAATGTGGAAAATACCTCAATCTAAATACCTAATTGAATCTAAATACCTAATTGAAAATGTGTAATTGAACAGACAAACCTTTGAATACTACCAATATAAATTTGGCTTAAAGTGATTAGGGCTCTTGTCTTAGCCTCAAGACAAAAGCATTTGGGAGATTCAACATGTATCCTTTCTGTCTAGGACTCTGGTAAGGTGCAGAGGGACCAAAAAAAAAAAGCAAGAATGAGCTCTGCCTTTGGGGAGTTAGGACATCACAGTACACCAAAGAGGCACACAGGATTGCATAAGCAAAGTGTTCTAAGAGTAGCTTTGGCCAAACATGCTACAGAAGAGGTAAGTCATCAGAGAAGGCTACTTGGAAAGGGAGATTCTTGTCCTGATCACCAAAGGAAATAGAGACAGAGAAGAAAGAAGAAGTTTTCCTTGGGCTAGAGAATGGTACAAGGGAAGGAAAGGAGGCTGGAATACCCCTGAGATGACTAGGAATATTCTGGTTATCTGTTGGTGTGTAGCAAACTACCTCAAAACTTAGAGCTTTAAAACAAATATTTTATTTTGCTCACAATTTTTGTGTCAGGAAGGGCTCAGCTGGCTGATTTATCTCTGATCTACATGGCATCAGCTGGGACTAGGGTCCATTTCCAAGATGGCTTGGAAGTTTGGTGGAACTTACAAGTTTGGTGCTTGGAGTCTGCAGTCTGTCTGTCTGTCTGTCTCTCTCTCTCTCTCTCTCTCTCTCTCTCTCTCTCTCTCTTTCTCTCTCTATCTCTTTCTCTATCTCTCTCATCTTCCCCACCATGTCTTGGACCTGTCACAGCATGGCAGCCTCAGGATAGGAGGATTTCTTACAAGGCAGCTTAGGGTTCCAAGACAGTGTCCCAAGGGGCACAGGCAGAAGTTGCACGATTTCCTATGACCTAACCTGGGAAGACTCAAACATCACGTCTACCACGTTCTAGTGTTCAAGCAGGTCACGAAGGCCAGCCTATATTTAAGAGAATGGCAATTAGACTCCATCTCTCAATGGGAAAAACAGCAAAAAAAATATGTTGCCAACTTTAATCAACCCCAGGGAACAATGAATACAGCAGAATGATTTAAGGAAATGGTCAGTGCCTGAGAGCAGGGGCGACCATCAGAGGATGAGTGTGGGGGCTTTGAAGGTGAAGTTGACAGACTCGGACACTTAAAGAGCAGTACCCCTTTCTCCTGGCACAATCTGTCTCGTGGAACTGCATTCAGATGAGAGAGAGCACCACCATCTCCTAGAGTTAGTTCCCAGGCATTGGACTAGGTAAATGAGGAAGACTGAAATTCTCCATCTGAATCTCTCTAACAGGAGACTGTAGTCTGGGCATATTTGGTGCTGAAGAACAGAAACTCATCTGAGCCAGCTTAAGAAAAACAAGGACCTATTCAAAAGCACCACAGGCAAGCATAAGAGCATTCGAGGACAAGGGTAGGAGAGCTGGGTCACAGGAAGTCTGACAAGTCTGACACTGCAAACCCCAGAGCCAGGGTTACTTTCAGTTCCTGGCAGGGGCTGAGGTCTCTCATCTCTTTGCCAGCTTTGATCACTTGCTGGTCTCCACAGATAAGCTTTCTCCACTGACTCATCAGAGCACACGTGGTCGAAAATGGCTGTCCCAGGCCTAACATGAAAGCATCGTCACCCAGCTCCCCTCCCACCATCAGTGAGAGCATATAGGTGGGAAGCAATTCAAGAGAGAAGGCGTAGGATGGCTAAACAACAAGAAAAAATGACCAGGTGGAAAACATGCCAGCCTGGGGCTGAGGACTGGGGTAAGGACAGAACAGGCTGGTCCCCAAGCCACTCTTCGTTCACATTCCAAATCCCTTCCCTGATGGAGTCAGACCCATTCCCTGCTGGGTTTGTCCTGGCAGCCTGGATGTTCAAAGCAGTGAAGCAATGGACAGAATGGACAGTGTCAAAGAAAATCCTTTCTTCTCTGGCTCTCACAGAGAGTGCTATCGCTCACAGTAGCATGGGGGATATTGGTCCTCTCTTTCTACGTCATTCTCCAGCATGCATATCTACACCCAAGTCATAGAGGAGAGACTGATGGCATAAGTGTGAGTGCTTTAATAATTTCAATGAAAATTGTTCATTTTTTAAAAAATGAGTGAGAAAACAAATCCCTGTTGGAGAGAAGTATTAATTACACTTCATACTGTCATAGAAAAATGTGAATCAGTATTTCCTTTTTCCTAAGTAGCAGACTTAAATCAGGATAAGTTTTAAATTGATAAGAGCTCTTTCAATGCCAGAGAAAGATATTGACCTTCTTGTGGTAAAGGCAAGTATGAAGTACATTAAAATCACCATTTTCGCAGTAATCAAGTTTACCTCTTTAATAACTTTGGACTATGACACTCCTTCAGAAATGCTGTCTGCTCAAAATTCTCCAAACAGCAGCACTGAATGGAATTCTGCTGGGGTAGAAGAATCGTGGCCAGGCAGTCAAAATCAATTTGTTCCTGTGATTGACATCAGGGCCTGTGTGTCAGCCAAGCTCTCTCATACCATCTGTGCTCTGATTATGATCAATAGGTATTTGTGATATGCCCAGGAAATGTGCCGTTTGATTACTTGTACATGGGAGAGGAGATGAAAAAAAAGTATCAACCTGGAGCCTCCTGATGTGGATGTAGAAGCTGGTTGATGAATTATTAGAATATAGAGTTTGCACTGATAAACTTTTGAACTTTCATTGAACTTGTAGATTAAGAATAGGCAGTTTTTTCCAGGAGGAAAATTCACCAGACAACCAACAATTTTTCTTTCACATATTTAAGCGAGATGTTCGATCTGGTAAGGAAATAATAGTAATTTATGTCTTTGATAATTGAGAAGGATTATAGTTCTATACACAGAAAAAGCAACCATCACCCGGGCCCTGTGAGTCACAAAGCCATTAAAGAAGAAGCTTCTAGCTTAAAAGCAGATGAAACCTCCAGATTTGGAGGATGATGTTCTCCAAGAGGGAGTTAAGACAGGGGAGAGAAATCCCCATGTACTTGAAAAATTAGAGCCCCCTCTCTGCCTTCCTTCCAAACAACCATAATGACACTTTTCAGATTCAGCCCGATAACCCATGCTAAAAGAAAATCACGCATGCACAGAACCATTTCTCTTCATGCACATGGACCCTTTGCAGACACTGCCATGTCCACACATTCACAAACTGACCTTCAGTGGGAGCAATGAGGCTGCTTGCTTCAGTCTGCAGAGACCCATCATTCTCAGAACACCCTTGCCCTGTAATCTGTAGGAACAGCCTGCAACAGATTAAAGGTTAAGAAGGAAGATTGTTGACCAGCTGGAAACCTGTGTTTGGTACATTCAACTAACTTCAAGAAATTATTTTACTGATGAAATAGCATCAACTGAGATCAGGTTTCTGAGAGATAGGAATTATTAATTTTGCTGCCATGACACTGAACAGCTTTGTATTAAAAACACACATTGGCTTGTGGCTCTTTGGCCTGATTGGTACAATGCACCAGAGATTTCAACTAAATGCTGACCACTCTGCAGTTCAGTTGCCCTTATTCATGATAAATCCTATCCCTTTCCTTCCAAGATCTCTTCACCACAATGCTTTTGCTTCCCTAGAATTCAATGTGTGTCAACCTATCATTATTTTTAAGCATGCACCTGGCTAGATGCTCAAAATGAGAGGACACAATCTTATTGCAATTGGAATGGAGACTGATGCAAGTTTTCTCAAGTAATGGGGATTAGAAGATGTTATAAGAATGTATGACCTAGTAGAGGAAAGTCATCACAAACTTGGACAGGTCTAGGAATCCCTTATTCTCTCCATTTCTCTCTTCCTCTCATGGCATTTCTACCACAGCTGCATGTTTGTGCTTACCAACTTGGCGTACTCAAAGTTTCTGTTTCCTTGTAACTGTAGTTTGCACATGACCTCTCATGACCTTGACTCTATCTCCCAGTGTTCAGTTTTAACAATCACTGCTAACTGCCTTATTTGAATTCTAAAGCGTAGGGAGAGAATTTTATTGTCCCCACTCACATTTCACATGGCCACACTCTGGGTTACAGGCCAGCCACTATCTAGGGTAGACTACCCAACCATGGACCCATCCCTATGGCCAAAAGGACCAGGTCAAGGGGTAGAATTACAGCTGCCCCTTCACCAGGGTGGTTTGATTCATAAAGGGCTTGGAGACCTCCTGAGGATGGGCCTGCCTGGTGCTAGGACAATGGAGGAAGGTTCTGTAGAGGAGGTAACATTTGGGATGACCATAAAAAGGATCCCATGTGTGGGCAGGCAAAGATGGAGTAAAAGAGGATGTAACAGCATGGGCAAAAGCCAGAAATAGGAAGCAGGGGGTATATTTGTGAGCATTTTGGTCTGGCTAGAGCAGTACTTCCCAAACCTTCTGTGCGTGTGGATCACTTGGGGATCTTGCTAAAATGCAGAGTCCTACTCAATGGGCCCAAAGTGGGGCTGAGACTCTGCATCTCTGGCAAGTTCCCAGGGGAGGCTGAGGTGCTGGGACACTCTTTGAGTAGCAGGGCTGGAACAAAGAGCATGTCAAGGCCATGAATGCCAGACTAAGAAAGTGGTAC